AGTGACACCACAAGTGAAGGGCGGCAGCCACAGGCGCTGGTAGTATAGGTGCTACAGGCCTGCACATTCACATGGTCAGCGACCAATGAACTGAATGAAATTAGCACCTCGTAAATCAGCGATGGAAGTGAGCTGCGTTTGTTGCCTATGAAGTCAGTAAATGAAATGAGTCATGGATTTATGAGCAGGCTTGATGGATGGGTGTTGTGTGCAAAAACTAAATTACATATATGAGAATTGCAGTATCTCATAGCGATGAGTTGTATAAAGGAGAAAACGTAGCATCCTAAATGTTTAATTTATACTTTTAAAATCTTTATACTATTTTTGAAAAATATTTATAGTGTAAAAACTGTATCTCCAAAAATTACAAGAGCAACGAGTGTGTAGGTTTCTTGTGATCCTGATGAGATAAGACTGGGCTTGACACCCCATAGTTGCAACCTTTTTATGACGTCGAACCAGTAGTTGTGGTCCCTTCTGCCCAATCGGAGGTTGCTCTCACATTCTACCGGAGCCGAAATGGGTCTATTCATGCAGCCACTCTGTAATAACCATAACGCCCTTCCACGGGTGCTCTGTACCCGACTGCTGCTTTAAACAGCAGCACTGATATGGAAACCCCATCGCAGCTGCAGAACAGTTTCTTTCCAGAGCAGCAGTTCCAGCACTATAAGTACCAGCACTACTGCGGGAGGAAGGATCGGCTCGGCAAGCAGCACGACCAATGCTGCGCCTGCAATAACTGCGCCTGTGATGCCAGAAAAAGCCTCGTATTGCGCGGGACGTCGCCGGCCACTGTGGAAACTTTAAGGACACCTTCCGAGACGTCTTCGAGGCAAGGTTACCAGTACAGCGTCTGCGAATTCACACCTTCTAGTCATGGTAGTTCATTCAGACATCATCATCATCATCCTCACCATCATCATCAGCAGCAGCAGCAGCATTGCCGCGATTGGCAGCGGGGGAACTTGGGCCGGAGCCCCAAAACACAGCCACAAAAACAGTAACTCCTACAATGAAATAGCCATGAGCAGCTGCAGATACAACGGCGGCGTAATGCGGCCGTTGAGGAACTTAAGCTCGTCCCGCAGAAACATACACGAGTTTGATTCCGAGTCCCAGCCTTTGCAGCCCATCTCAGCCGCAGATGCGTCGGACACTTTAGTATCCAAGCCGGAGAATAATTCCACCACCCTGATGCCTTACGCATCGGGAGATGGAGGGGGAGGCTGCAGCCACAGCGGCGGTAAATCGGGTAAAAAGAAGAACCAGAACATTGGGGCAAAGCTCGGGCACAGGAGAGCTTTGTTTGAGAAAAGGAAGCGACTCAGCGACTATGCTTTAATCTTTGGGATGTTTGGGATCGTTGTTATGGTTATAGAGACTGAACTCTCTTGGGGAGCCTATGGAAAGGTACGTATTTACTCGGAGTTAACTGAGTTGCATGTGGCTGAAGATGCAATCATTTAAATTAAACAACTTCTGACAAAAGTGTTACACAAAAGCAGCCACTTTAGCAGCAGAGGTCTGCGCTCACTCTGAAGTGTCCCATGTAGTCACATCTCCTGTCACATGCAGGCCAACAGGTCCACTGTGTCCAACCATGAAGGGAAACCCCTAGAATACAGGAAAATATTACGTCAGCATTTGTTGCAGTTCACCTTCTGAAGATGAATTAATACTGTATATATCTTCCATATTTTTATTACCAAAGTATAAATGTGAGTGATTGTCATAATGTTGTGTTTTGTTTGGCTTTAGTGTTGTTGCTCTCTTCCAGGAGTCCCTGTATTCGTTAGCTCTAAAATGCCTGATAAGCCTTTCTACAATCATTCTTCTGGGACTGATTATCATATACCATGCAAGAGAGATACAGGTAACACTTTTCCTATTCTTTAAACTGTTGATGTTGGAGGGTCAGCAACACTAACTCAATGTATTTCAGCACATTCAGCACATGCTCAATTTATTTTTTAGTATTTCTATACAACTATAAAAGCGCACTTATGGGAACATACCTGAATGTTTTCAGTTTAGGAAAGATGTCCTTCAGTGATTTGCCAAATAACCTCTTATAAAAGCATGTGCTGTATTTAATTTCACTCTATGGCATGGGGCAGAGTAATTATTCACTTAAATTATATTCCTAATATGAAAATGTTGCAATTTAATCTGTTTTCATTTTCATTGTCTTTTGTCTGCTTTATACTTTTTAATCTAAATAGCATTAGTAGAGGATTTTGCAGTACTAGACTGATCATCATCATTATTCATTCATTTCACATTTTGATAAGATTGAGAAACTGACAGCGTCCTGTGGATGAATATACATAGATTGAACACTTGGACGGTTTTATGACTTTGCCTCTGAGCTTTTTTGCATTACTTACAGTTCACAATGCGCTTCAGCACCTGCGTCTTTGCTGAACAGCCACAGAACTAACAGTGCCACTTTCTGCAGGGTGAATGTATGCTGCCAGAAAGCTTTCATGTGTCTGTCTCTGTTTTCTTTTCTTTTTTTTTTTGTTAAATCAGCTTGAATAGAAACCCAGTTCAAAAATTTTCTAAAATCGTGAATGACACCATGTTTAATCATATTAATGGATTTTATTACTTTTAAACAATATGGTCATTTTAAAGTGCCTTTAGCTGACACTGTATGAGCTGATCTAGCTGCTTTATACTTTTATTTTTTTGTTTAATCACATTTCTTTACCCTGTGGTCTGAGCTTCAAGGTGTGGAGCATGTTTTTTGTGAAATCGAAAAATATTACATTTGGAAAAAGCATAGTTTTTGTATTGGTGGTGTATTTAGGACTTCACAAATCCCAGCAACTACCAGTGACTGAAAGAGTCCAACAATAAAATGTTACTCGCTATAGATGTCACATTTCTTTATGGGGAATGGCAGAAACACACAGACATCATCACCATAATTCAGTGCATGACAGAAGCATTTTCATTCCCCCTGTAGACACTTCCCAGCAGCTGTTTATAAATTAGAAAGCATGCTGGAAGTTTGCATGAGAGTATCATATTCATTCCTCCCTCCTTCAGCCTCTGCACCTTTTACCCTAAGCCTGTGTAAATTATTAAACTAACAGACAGAGCTCTTCACCTCTTGCTTCTACAGGCTTTCCTTGATGCTAAATAATGCAACAATTTAATTGTGACTTACATATTGCAAAGGTCTTTTCCTCATCCCAGCAGGTTTCCATTTAGAGGGTTTTATAACAGACTGTGTTAAATTGGTAGTTGTGCCTCAGCTGCATTTTTATCTTCACAATAAAGCAATTTAAATGCTTAAGCACTGAATTGTGCTTTTTGTCACTGTTGTGATAAAGCAAGTATTTATAATTATAGTGATGACACCTGGTTTTTTAAGCGTGAATCGTCTGTTTCACACAGAGAAATGGCTCTAAAGCAACATTTTTTTCTTTCATTCCAGGGGAGACAACATGTCCACTTCAAATCTAAAATGACCTTTTCTTTCTATTCCTTTAATTGTCAGTAGCGGCACATTTATTCCAAGGGAAGGATGTTCAGACTTCTTCAGATATACCCCCTCCGTTGACCTAGAAAACTTTATTAAGGCAAAGGTTTTCTCTTTCTCAATAAAGAAGTCTGAACAATGAATCAGAAAACATCATTATCATTCATTCTCTACTGCTTCTCTCTGAATGTGCACATTGATTATCAGATCTTCTTTTTAATTTATCAAGTCTTCTTCGTAACAAATTATCAGGACGTTACTGGAAACAGACTGTGTTTTATATTTAAAATCAACTCATAGTACTTATACTTCCACCACACCAGCTGCTCCTATCAGTTTAAAACTGTTTTAAGGTGAACTACGTCAAACAGGCTACACACCCGAATTGAATGAAAACCTAAATTAAACCCCACAGACATTTCACTTAAGATTCAGGTTTAAGATTAATATTTTGTCTGTTGTAATGAATTATTTCAGGTGAATGAGCTAACCATGTACCCCAAACAAATGCTGGATCATTTTAGTTTGAAATTCATTTTGCGAAAAATACTTTAAATTGGCAGTTTTCTGTGTGATTTATTCAGGTTTAGTACTTTATTTTCATGCAGTCAAGAGGCTTGTGACAGCTGGTTAAAAACAGTCAAAACTGAGACAAGTTCACTTTAGACCCGTGGGTCAAGCTTCAATAATGGTAATTAATAATGTTGTTTATTAGGGCTGCAACTAACAATCAGTCATTTAAAATAGTCCAGTCTACATAATGTCATGAAACTGTGAAAATCACCATCAGAAGTTCTCTGGAGCCCAATGTGAGAACTTCAGATTTCTTGTTTTGAAACCTCAAATACCACGTTTTCTCCAAACGCTTGTCTAAACCTCAGATAAACCTATCGTCAAAGTAGCCGCCTCTTCATTTTCTGATAACTGACTGTTAATCAACCAGTCAATCAGAGTGCATCCTATTCTAAATATTCTTCATATGGTTTGCACATAGTCTTGTAACAGAAATTTGACATGGTAGAAGTAGAAAGTGTCACAAAACTACATATTCAAGTATAAGTACATAGAAACTGGATTTGGGTGCATGTACTCATTACCTGTTTACTGTTCATTGCTGAAAATTGGTGGAATGTCCCTAGAGATCATAGCTGTCTGAATTTCACTTAACAAAACCCAAAGCTATGTAATTATCACCAAATATTTGCACCAAATATATTTTAACACTTTATCATCTGGGTTTTTTAGTATAATGCAAAGCCCCTGGGTTGGGAGCAACACTTTATTTTTATTAATGCTCTAAATGGGCTTAAACTGTGATGTTAGTGGAGTGCTGTTTGTAAAGTGTACCTTCCCATGTCAGATTATTTTACTCCTCCATTGAACAGATTATGTCTGTGCATCCACGTGTACTCACAGATGCCTGTCAGATGCAGAGCCATAAGTCAAGATGATGAAATACTTCCCCACCACTTTGAGCCCTTTAAAACTGATTTACTTGCCAAACTTAGTAAAGATCGTGCCCTCTCATTTTTAAACTTCATAAAAATGAAGCATTTTTCTTCTCCGAGTGACTGAAAACTCAGAAGTTTGGGTCAGACACAATAGATGCTGGACATCCGCTGTCATTTGAATAGTTTAAGGATACATCTGCTGCACTGCTGCAATGGCTGTGATGGTACTGAGCCAAGTGTGCTTGCGGATGCCTGTCAGATGCAGAGACACAAGTCAAGAGAGAGACAGCTGCTAAATGCCCTTAGATTTGTCCCAGCATCTACAATTAGGAGAAATAAGATTAATGTTTAATCTGCCTTTGTGGATATTTATATTGTTCAGGAATCTAAATAATCTCTTTATACTTGTCCTTGAAATGTTATTGGCCTGATTTAGTCCCATTTTTGTCTTCTGTTGACAGCAGGCGATCTGCCCAAGGAACATTTAAACGTTTTAGTTTAGTTGAGATTAATCATGTTGGCAAGTTATGACTTAATTGTACAGAACAAGTGGAAATGGATAGATTAGACTGTGTACCTCCTTCCTGACTTTGATTTGTCTTTGTCAAAGTCTGATATGACCTGCCCTCAATGCTAAACTGGCTGCTGAGTTCACCATATTCTCAATTACACAGAAACTGCCACATTAAAGGCTCTTTTTCTGAGGGACGTTGGTGTTAAGGCCACTGGCATATCTCTGTACAGTACCTTGTTATAACAGTTCTGCTGAGTTTGCTTAAACTAATGCAAAATGCTTTGGGAACTGTTCTGTTTTTGATGTTCACTTTTGTGATAAAATTCAGTGCTGATGCTTCACAGTCGCACATTATTACATTTTACAATTTGCAGAAAAGATAAAACAACAAGATAAGACTCCAGAGCCAGTGAATCCTGTCAAAACCAGACTTGGCTGTGCATGTTAGACCACCCCTGTGTGTTTTGCCTGTGTGTGTGTGTGTGGTCACAGATATGGTGTAACAACAGGAGATGCTCTGCATTTCTCACATTGAACTCTCTCCTCTACCCAAGATTCCAGACTGGAGTCAGATAAACCCTCACTGGCAGGTGACCTCAGGGTTTTCACTGAGCATAGAGGCTTTCAAGGGCAGAGGCACTCAGAAACCTAAAGATTATTTAAGGAAGGCATTTCCTAAATTGTGCTCTTCATATGGCTTTAAACATGCATCTTATTTTGGATTAATAATGTGTGCAACTTTGCTGCAACAGCAACACTCTAAAAAAAAAAGATTTATATTTCCTAAGCTTTTACTGTGGCTCAGAGAGATTTTACTTTGCACAAATAGAAGAATGAATATGCAAATGTGAGTTAATTTCAGAAACAAAAAGGAAGTGAATGTGCAACAGCTCCAGATTTACTCAGCAAAGTGGCCTCTGAGTGGTTCACTTTGATACCATAAATAAAGCATTCCATTAATGTCTAATTGGGTTGAACCTCTCAACCTAATTGAGTCATTTCATTCTCAGTGAAAAGATATATGTTCCCATCTCCACATTACACAGATTAAATATTGAGCTGGACTCCATTAGTTATATTAAGCCTAGTGAAACCGGTAACCAACCCAGCTAGCATCACAGGTGAGCTCCTCTGAGACTGTGTAGTGTAGACACAGGGCAGGAACGACCAGGACCAATTAAGTTCTGTATACTGTCTCAACCTGACATAAATGAAACTTTACCATGATGAGCAAGGGGCATGCGCTGCAACAGAAAGCCAGCCGAATGCCTGAAAGAAGTCAGTGACAGATGGATTTGTAGTCACTTAGAAAAGGTCATCACACTGGCTGTTTGTTTCCTAAGATCAGTTTTACAGTGCGGGGACCTAATGTGTGTGCTCTTGGACTTTATGTCACTGTAAGGTTAAGATTTTTGGAAAGTGAGGCATTTTATTTTATTTTATTTTGGCTAGTTGTTACATCTTAAAAAACATTTGAGAGTTAAGGCATGTCTTCACATGTACAGAAGGACAAACATATGGATACTGAATTTCCTCACTTTCCTCTCGAGGTGTCTGACCATGCAAATCCAGCTCAGTTTTGTTCTGTAGGATTTCCAGAGTATGAGCAATATTGTGTCTGGAAAGAAAATATTTTTAACTGTAATTTATAGCTTTGTGGCTTTAGGAATGGGCATATTGGTCAAGCTATGTCCTTGGACTGAAATATTTCAACAATAATTTGATTATTTGCCAGGAAATTCTGTAGAGGGGTTCCTGTTCCCCAGACAGTGACGTTTACTGACTCTACTGATCCCCTTGACCTTTCCTCTAAAGCCACCATTAGGTAGGCATTTGTGGTTTTGAGTGAAATGTCTTGACGTATTGGATGGATTACAATGAAACTTGGTACACTTGCTCAAGTTCAAGTCAGGTGATCCTTTAACATTTTATTTGATATTTTAATTTTGGCACAGTATGTTGCTTTAAAAAGTCAGTGTCAAAGTTCTGATTGCTGCACTGAAAACAATATTGTAGACACATTTTAGTTAAATCAAATTTAAAATCATTTTACCTGTTGTTTAAATTGTTTGTCTCCCTCCTGAAAGTGATTTAAAGGTCTCCTGGTTCATCAGCTGTCTGTTTTAATTTTCTGACATTATTTAAAACACAAAGTTGAAAGTTTTTCCACCTTTCTTCCACCTCTCTGCCATAACTACTGGCTCTGCTGCTAGCATAGAATATTTGATGCTCCAAGGTAAAAGGCCCTCGAGTATTGTATTTCAGATCATTCATTATCGTAATTGCCTTTACCCTCCAAGTAGGGTTTCCTTATGCAGCCTCCATTTAAATGTTTAATTGCATTGTCTTGAGGTACCAAACTCTGTAACTGCTTTTGACTCAGTGGCTTTGTTCTTTAAAATGTAAAATAAAACGCAGCTTGTGCTGTGTGCAGACAATAGATTTAGGTGCTTTGAGAGCCCTAATTCTGTAAGTAAGAAACTATAGCACTGTTACACTCACTTGGAAAGCTGAACAAGACAAACTGTGGTTAGAGTTACACACTTCTCTGGCAGATGTCAGTTTGTTAAAGGAGCTCAGTGTCCTCTGAAAATTTAATCTGTGTGTTTTCTGTGTTTGAGGAAACTTTGATTGCAGCTTGTGAATGAAATGAGCTGCAGAGGATTTGTGGGTCAGTTGTGTCATTCGACCAGGAACATGTTTCCTTTAGCTTCTTCTGTTTGTGTTGCTTGATCCCAGCTTGTTGGCTATTGATATTTCTTGCACAGTATTACACATATAATTGGTTCAGACCCAATACTGAGTGTATGTGTTTGCTGTTGTGGGTTCAGCGGAGTCTGTGTGTTAAAGGGAGGTAGACGGAGCGCTCATGTATGTCTGTGCAGAAAGTTGATGCATTGATGTACTTTCTTTGTCCTTGAGTTGAACATGTTCGATTGAAGTTTGTTTCAGTCTAATTCCATTTTATGTAACATATCAATGCTAAATTTACAGTCTAGGCCACTGATCCCATTAGCCCTCAAGGACTTTCTCTAATCATTTTATTTCTTTCGAATGAAAAGTGATTGATTAATCAACATGTCCAGTGTACTTTATTTCAGACTTAGACCGTACAAAAATTACTGGGGTGGGGAGGAGGCTGATGACTTTTTAAAATAGTAAGACACTCCCCAGGGTTATTGATATTTAGTGTGAACCCTCCATTTGACATAAAACAGTTGCTGCACCCGCTTTACCAAGCATATTAGGGACGTATGTGACAAAAAATGCAATAATGTGCAGTTTTTTAGAAAGGTTTCATGGCAAAAACCTTGCTTTTTTTTTGCCGACAGCAACATCTATATGAAATATGTACTGCTCATTGTGACAGCCTGTACACAGGCAAAGGGCCTTGCCTTGAGGTGACTGAGTGGCGACATGTCAGAGAAACAAATTATTTGACATATGCAGGGGAGGCTAAAATTGTTTGACATTATTCACACTGGTAAATATAAAACTGCAGCAGCAGCAAATCTAACATGAAGGTGGCAGATGTTCTCATCAGTACAATGGTTTGAAGTTGAAAATGCTTAAGCATGCTGATATTATAACAGTTATTTATTTATATATTTATTTAGGCAGCGTGAAGATGGCAAGAGAAATATAGGAATGTGACAGAATTCAGTCCTGGGGTTGTAGAGTCACATACGTGGAAACACACTGTTTAGTTTATTTTAGCATATGCTTTACATTAATTCTTGCCATTGAACATAAAATGTTTCAGTAGTTTTGTTTTTTCATTATCTGTTAATTTGTTGATGTTTTTAATAATTAACTGATTAATCATTTAGACTATGAAATGTAAAATAGTGCTCATTTGTCCATCATATAGTCCCAGAGACCAAGGTGAAGTCTTCATATGTCTCACTTTCTTCAACCAAAAGATATACAATTTACAGTAGCAAAGAGAACCAGCAAGTCCACCCACTGAAGAAGCTGGAAGCTGAGAATGTTTGGAATGTTATTTGTTTGCAAAGATGTAAACAAAGAAAACAAACTGTCTTGTTTGGGCTAAATAATATATTAAATACACAGTGTTTCATTCTATATGACTTTCATTACATATGTCAGTAAACATCTCTATTCACTTATAGAATATACACCATCATTTACCCCCAGTCAAGCTCTGATGCACCTGTCATACAATCAAGTGTGCAGAATTTTTGTTGACATTTTTTCTTGAAAATGCCAGAAACTATTAATCAGTTATCAAAATAGTTGCCTATTTTTCTTTTTCCTTTTTCTTTCTTCCTTTTTTGCTGATCAACTACTTTATTAATCTGATTACTGTAAAATCTGAGTTACCTTCAACTTCCTGACAGCTGTTGTATTCCTTTCATTTCACAAAAATATGAAAATCAACTTATAAACTTGAGATTAGTGAGTTCCTTACATAAAAACAAATAGGGATGATTCATACAAGGCAGGAAAACACACCTGGGTATTCTTAATAAAATGTATTTTGAAAAACAAAGACATGATAATTCTATTCCTGAAGTCATCATCAGATTTTCTTGTACATATTGCATCTGAAGACCATTTTTGGCCTTGAGAGGGCATCTCATCCTCCTCTTATCAGCTCATATATCAATTATTTATTATTTTCTTTTTTTTGGAAAATGATTAGAACTAATATGTATATCATTGGTCATAAATGGGCAATGACATGGGGAAAATGGCTAATGTCTTTAAAAAAATGTGACTCGGAAGTGTGATTTCATGACTTCAGGTTATTTGTGACTTATTGCCTAATGAGTGTAGCTAACTACGTCACCATGATGAAAGTATTGGCAGTCTTTTAACCTCCATTGGTCTCACCATGCGCTTTCCTTTCAGTTATTTATGGTGGACAATGCAGCTGATGACTGGAGGATAGCCATGACATATGAGCGCATCTTTTTCATCTGCCTGGAGATCCTGGTGTGCGCCATCCACCCTATCCCAGGGAACTATACCTTCACCTGGACAGCACGCCTGGCCTTTACCTATGTATCATCCAAGACAGAAGCAGATGTGGACATCATCCTGTCCATCCCCATGTTCCTGCGGCTGTACCTCATCGCTCGTGTCATGCTGCTCCACAGCAAGCTCTTCACGGACGCCTCTTCCCGGAGCATTGGTGCACTCAACAAGATTAACTTTAACACACGCTTTGTGATGAAGACCCTCATGACCATCTGTCCTGGCACTGTACTACTGGTCTTCACCATCTCATTGTGGATCATAGCTGCATGGACTGTGAGAGCTTGCGAGAGGTGCCTGGATCAGTTTCTCAGGCTATGCCGTTCTGTTCAGCATGAAACAATGAGGCATAAAAATAAATGATGTACACACTGCTTAGCTAACTCTGTGTCTGAGATAGAAATAGTTACATATGCTATAAGGAACGATCATAGCCCTGCAGTATTCTGACATGTAATCTTATATACTACGTTGGATTAAATCCTTTTTTAAGTATGAATTAGTCATAAAGAGAAGCTGTAGTGTATCAGTTTCTACAAGTGTATGAAGGGGGTTGACCTATTGCATGTATTATTTATTACAGGTACCATGACACCCAGGACATAACCAGCAACTTTCTAGGAGCCATGTGGTTAATCTCAATAACATTTCTTACCATTGGATATGGGGATATGGTCCCGAACACATACTGTGGGAAAGGAGTCTGCCTCCTGACTGGCATTATGGTGAGAAAAGCGGAGACAAGCAGATTGAGTGCTTACATTTATTTATTTTTTTTATTGGTTTGAGGACGGGCTGAAAGACTGACTATGTGATTAATATGCTGCTAATTATCCATGACTAGAAAAAACAGACAGGAAAATGAAATAAGAAAAGCTTCCACACTGTGTGTTTGTGCCTGTCCATTCCTGCCCTGTCACAGGGGGCGGGATGCACTGCCTTGGTGGTGGCTGTGGTGGCAAAGAAACTGGAATTAACCAAAGCTGAAAAACATGTCCATAATTTTATGATGGACACCCAGCTAACAAAAAGAGTAAGTGAAAGCTAGATATTCAGATATCTTGACGTGGCAAATTTTCAATTGTCTGCGTAACCAAACTCCTCCTTTATTTGCACTCTAGGTGAAAAACACAGCTGCGAATGTACTCAGGGAGACATGGCTCATCTACAAGAACACCAAACTGGTGAGGAAGATGGACCATGCCAGAGTCAGGAAGCACCAGAGGAAGTTCCTCCAGGCCATTCACCAGTAGGTACCGCGTTCCTGATGCTGACCTCGCCTGTCATGTTGATGTAATGCTTTTCATCCAGCAGTGTATTTATTTGATTCACTGATGCAACACAAACCTGAAATCTGAATTGTTTGACACCTGTAGCAAAAATGTGCTTATATTATTGAAGGATTTTGTATTTCCTAATCATATTTGACCTGACTTGACTAACTTTAAATTTGCAGATGTGATAGTGAGCTGGTCAGTTGCTTCAGCATTAAAATATAGAAGGGAACTAAATTTATCTAAATATTATTCACTGATATGCTCGAGGTTCTTGTATTTCATTTATATTGAACACAGGGTTACAATTGTCAGAGTGTACGGGACATATTTTGCACAAAATGGTATTTTCTCTGAATGAGATTTGGAAAACGTTCCATAATGTTACTGTGGTAATAGAGAGTCTTTCAGCAGCCTCAGTTTCACAGAAGTATTCCTATTTAAAAAATCTCATTTTACCTTGAAATACCCTTGGGTTACATAATTCACAGCAGTGTGATATTGATCTCTCTCTCAGCTTTTGCTGCCAGAGTCACTCGTGTGTCTTTTTCACTGTGAGTCAGATGTCAGGCTGTCCTCAGGGCATCTGGCTTTCTACTTTGCTAGCAGCCGGTTACACATTTACCTGTCAGCTAGTCTTTTACAGGGTCCCTGAGGACCCTCAAAATGCTATCTAAATCCCAAACACTGTTGATTCTATCCTCCCCTGGCTCTTGTTTTTATTCAGCCTACAGTGCTTACAAGCATATCCAGTCTGTGACCTTTTTCAGTAATTGCATTCAACTTGGTGCTTTGTTAAAATAAATAACTGGATGCACAGTGATTTAGTTCTATGTAGCTTTATGCTCAAGCAGAATGCCCCCTGTTTCCGTGTTTGTTTGGTTTCTGTGGTTTTATGTATGTAAAAGGGTCTTTGTGGTTTCCTGTGTACAACTTTGATTTACTCATGAATCTTTCAGTTTTTGTTTTAAAGACATTAGGATTTTTAATTACAAGGCTTAGACATACACAAACTGTCTGCTGCTGCTGCAACCCACATCCAGATTTGTTCCTTTTAATGGCCTTTGGTCATGGAAGCTGGTTGAGTCCTTATGTCCTTGCTGATGATTCAGGCAATTTGCAGGTGGTGATGACAGTGTCTCATGTCCACCTCCTCATCTGTAAGACAGCCTAATAATGGAAACCCCTTGGAGGTAAAGCTAAATGTTTAAACAACCAGTTATATACAACTCTGTAAGGACATCTACTCAGCATGGTGTCCTCTTCCTGTCATAGCAATCCATCCATCCATTATCTATATCTCTTGTCTCTGGGGGGACTCGATTCTCCTGTCATAGCTTTATGTTAAAAAATGTTTTCTGGCATTGAGGCATTGTGCTCACATGCTTTATCTGATCTGGGATAATTTTAAGTGTTGCCTGTGTGCAGGGTGTGATAAACAAGCTCTGGACTGAGATGAACATAAGCCAGGAATTGGCCTGACAGTGAACATGGCAGAGAGCTGACAATGGTCTACAGCTCTCTGTGACCTGCTATGAGGTGATAGTAAACATCAAATCAGATGTCATCATGGCTGCTCCCTCTAGTCAAAGATGTAAGACAGTGTGGAAAACTTGCTCAGACATCCTCATTTGTCTCAGTAAAGGTTATGTGGTGTAAACAGGTTTTACTGATGTTCACAGGATTGTTGTTTTGATTTAGAATATTCCTGATAACCAGGACTTTTGCAGAAAAAAAGTACTAGTGCGAGCATAGCCGCAGCTCCCAGAAACAGCCCAAACACAGAGAAATACCACTATTGGTTGTAGGGAGAAAAGTAGTCAAGCAAAATTGTTGCTGCTGTTTAGAGGTGAGGTGACAGTATAGGGACGAGGGTTACAGCAGCCAGACTTGAACAAGTAAATGTTGCCATCTGAGTATGTTTATCTAATATTGTAATGATTCATTTGTCTACCTCATGTTTCTTTTTTTTTCCTGTTTGTGTCAACACAATGCAATAGAGCTCGAAAGTAAGTGTTCGCCTCATGTAGATCCAGACCTGTTGTGTGCATGCTAATGAGAGCTTGTCCTTGAACCCAATAATGTGACTAAAAACTTACACTCCCTCATTTGATAAGTGAAATTCATGCTATGAAAATTGCAATGATTGAATTGTTTCATATACTCATAATAAGGCCATCTTATTTAGTTTTTTTTAATTAGTTGTCTGTTCAACTGAATAGCATTTCAATTTGATAAAATACTGTATAATATAGTCTCACATTTTTTATTCAATTTTCAACATTTTGTGTTGCAATAATACTGCTTTAAATAACCAGCACAAACATCTTTTATGCAATATATGTCTGATTCAGTAGACACTTGCTGCACATTGTAAGCACACAGACAAATGCATAGTAAGTGAATTTCAATTATCTGTGATGGAGGGTGTTTTTCTTTCCATTTCTGCATGGATGTGATGAGAATTTGATCTTTAATCAGAAAGCCACTGATTAAACTCCAATCAACTGTGCTTTCACATATCGAAGGATGATGACTAGAGCGCCACTGGAGGCAGAGCTGCTGTAACACCACTATATAATTTATAAAAATCATTTAAGTCATGTTATACAACTTAGCAGTCATGCTCATACAGATTAGGGCTCAGGGTCATCTTTCGATGTGTGGAATCATTGTTAACGCCTGTTACTACATTTGCAGCCACATTTTTTCTCCATTTCTCTGTTGGATGACACAGTAGCAGAGACACTGATCCAGTGGTACCATGTTTGGTAAAGAGCACAGGTTTATAACAAGGACTTACAACAGTCATGCATCTCTGCAAGTACAGTTAGCGATAGACAGCTGAACCACTCTTTAAGTTATTGGGATGGACACCACAAGCATGATGTTGCCTGAATGCAACTAAGTGTCTCATAGTATGTTTTAGGGCATAACTGTTGTTAAGTCACATGTCTCAGTACAGTTTGACACTGTCCCATTAATCATAAGGTTGTAGTGCGAAACAAAGTGAGTGCTTGTTGATTTGAAGAGACAGGATTGCGACTGGAGAGGGTTTAGTGAAAAGCTGTTACTGTGACTGCTGGCATCAAATTGTCAGAAAAAAACAGGCTGAAGAATGTTTACCCTGTCCTTTACACTGAAGAAAAATTAGCACTTCTTTACACAGTGAGGTAAATGCAGGCCTTGACAAAGAAACCAAGTCAAGAGGGTGAAAGATATGGTGAAGCACTAACTGAGATTGCCTTAGCAAATTTAATGGGGTATTGGCAAGCTTAGCGTAGCAATTTTTCCCTGATGAATAGCAAGTAGATTTCGATTGCCCATTCAAAAGCAGATCTGTCCAAGAGGACTGAGTGACTGAAGGAAAGAGGCACATTGAATATAAAAGACAGGATAAGTAGACTTTCTCGCCTTGACCTCAAGCTGCCCTGTGCATTTGACAGCTATTGGTCATCCAGCTGTGAAATGTGTAATTCTAACAGGTCTTATATCAACAGCAAAACCATTCAGCACTGAATATCTATTGTCTTTCATCAATATCTATTGTCTTTCTTGAATAATAAATGAGCTATTTTGTGATAATATTCTCTACATTGTCTTTAGAGTCTGCTCTGTATGGAACATTTTGGTCCTTACTTGTCAGGATACCTTCCCTTACCTGTAGTCTGTAGTTTCCTTTAGTGAATTCTGTTGTACCTCATTTGGTCTAACCTGCCATCTTTGCTCTACATCTGTTTGTCTTTAGGAAATACGGAAATGATTTCAGGTTGCATAAAAGTTTGTGTATCTTGGATAACTAGCAGACTCCTCAAGGACTTTTTAAATCTTTTATTGATCTTCATCATTGTCTGTCTTCAATTTTTGCACAACCTTATGATCACCTCACATTCAAACTGCATTTATACTTCAGATAATTATAGGGCTTATTATTATTTTATCAAAATTTGAAACGCTGGTAAACTTGCCATTGTGTTCTTGTTTGTTATTGTGCCCAGTGTAATTTAATATGCGTGGGTGATTTGGTGGGGGGGGGGAACAGTTTAATATCTTGAAACCACATGTGGTCGACACGCTACGATACTGTGCAACTGCTGTTTTAGAGCCCTCCTGAGGCCTCGGGCTTTAGAAACCTAATTAAACAGGAGATGTGAATAATTTAAGCATGTTATAAAGTAGTTACACTATTTGTGCATACTTGGCAGTGGGATTTTTGCATTACAAATGGGCCATACATGTTACTTTATCTCACAAGTTAACTGCTAATAGAACAGTTGTGCATTTTCTATCCATGGTGCAAGATTAACAGGATTTATTTAAGCCTGAAATTGTAAAGAACTTTTAATTCTGATATCTTTTTCATCAGAAACTGTTCACCTATGTGCATATAGCTGTTTTTAACATTGGTCTCAATTGTACATAAAACAATGTTTGATTTAAAAAAACAAACTTAAAAAGAAAAAAGTTGGTTTAAGCAGAAAAAGGAATGTAAAAATATAACAATAGACTATTTCTGGTGTTCTATAATCTGAAATGTCCAATAGCTATATGCTCTGATATGACTCCTTCTCATTGCCTTAATATGGTTGTAGGCTATGTATTGGTTGAGTAGGACGTAGAGCTGTTCTCATTCTCCTCAGTGGCAGCTCTCCCCTCTCTGTGGTCTCCTTTCCACTTGCATGCAACTCAACCAAACAGACTGACCCCTGCAATCCCTGCATTCTCGACACACGTCCTATGCATGTCCTAGGAGTGTTCTACATGTGTATGCCTTTGTGTGTGCACAACTTCAAAATGATAAAAAGTTCTGATAGCGTTAATTTATTGGGTTCTGAATGGTCTTGTGTTCAGATTGAGAAGTGTTAAAATGGAGCAACGCAAGCTGAATGACCAAGCAAACTCTCTAGTGGACCTTGCTAAGGTAAGCTAGTCTACTGCTGCATTGTAGGATAGACAACTATCCTGATAAGTTTCTTTCCTTTGTGTGAGTGAATAAAATGCATGCCAGGTCACTTGGTGAATGAGGTGTGTTTTCTAATACAATCAAAGTCTACAGGTGTCAAATAAACAGACAGGCTTTTCACAAGGCGATTAAAAATCATTCTGTGTGATGACTGTGGTTCACTGCAGCTTTGGCTCTGTATGAAATTATAACTTCATATTATTTTACAGGGTAAAGTATATCCCCAGGACATGTACTCCTGAAAATTACTGAATGAGAGTAACAAGAAACAGTTTCTTCACTTTATGTAATCTCTGGTGTTTGTCTCCAGATGTACTAAACAGAGGTTGACAAACCTTAGGGAGATACCAGGCAGTGGTCCAACCTGACACAGCAGAAAAAGCAACCTGAGAAGGGAAACACTGTGATCTGATGATTCAGCCAGAAGTTAAGGCACAGAAAGAGAGCAGATAGGCAGAGCACTGTGACATTCAGAGGTATGCAGCAGTCAAACTGGATTCAGGCCAGCATGTCATGAAAGGTATCAGCTGATACTGCTCAAACGCCTCAAGCTGGAAAATAGCAGCGAGTGCTGGGATGTGGTGTTGTAAAAGGTGGCTTATAGCCAGTGCCACTCAGCTGATTCTTTAATCATTGTTATAAGAGTCTAAAGCCATACGAGGGCAGTGTAGCTTCAGTCACTTCATGCACTCAGTAGAAAGATATAGCTGAATAGAGCTGAACATTCCACTGGCAGCTGCATCACCACTGCAGTGCAATGTGAAATTCCTCAGATCACAGTGTATCCCTTTAATTACTCTACAGTTTGATATAAACTAATTTAACATGACTTATGCGATGCAGTATTTGGTTCATTCTCATTTTTCTCCACAGCATTTTCCTCACTGGTGTCATTTAGGGTGAATTACATGTCCTCAAATTACAAAGCTGCTCACTCAAGCTGTTGTTTGACACAATCTCTCCCACTGTCCTTTCTCTTCTTCCCTTGTTCTCTTGACCTGAAATGGGTGGAGAGTGTCCATTTGTTGTTTTACTGTGGGGATGAAGAGGACTTACAACAACTGCATATATTCTTGTTTTGTCAGTTTCATTCTCTATTATATCTGTTTCCTCACAGTTTTCTCACTGTCTTGCATTTAATGTAATCACCCTTTAATGTGTTCTTGTTACATTTCATGATTTACATATCAACTCTACATGTAGGCCTATGCCTGGCTGCAATTAATTTCTTAGTCAGAGAAAAAAATATGTGTCTAAGATAATATATTGGTACATTTAAGCATTTGGTCATGACACATGAACTGTTTAAATGCTGAATTTTATTTGTCATCTAATGAAAATCATTTGCATAACAAGAAATCAAGAATTAGATTAGTGTTAATGGAACTAATACGACACAGTGAAACTCTTGTCCGGGTTGTCAGGCTGACAGGTGTCAATGCTGCTTCAGTCCTCACTGATTCACATAAACAACCAATCCATTATTCCCACCTCAGATCAGAGGAGGACAAGGTAAGTAATGGATGGAATTGCCTCTAGGCTGCCTGGGACTATTAGAACTCAAATGAATAGTACCAGAGAAACAGCCTTCAGCATCACTCCCAGTCCTCAACTAAAATGTGACATCAATTTCTCAGTGTTGTTGACTATTTTTGAAGGCGTTCCAGTGTAATGTTAAAGGTCTGTGAACAGATGTTGATGAATCCACAGAGCAGATAGTAT